CAGCGCCGTGTACTGGAGGCTCGAATGGCGTTCGATGAGCTAACGATTCGTTCAGCTGCTGAGGCCTACCGCCACGTGACCGTCGAGCGCGCAGCGCTGATGAGTGAGAACGTCGCATTGAAAGAAGCTATCGAGGACAAACTCAAGGTTAAGGCGCAGTTGGAGCGCGAGACCCAGGAGTTCCTGGACCAGATCCGTTCTAATGAACCGCCTGTACTCGCTCGACGAGATGACGATGGATGGTGCGTGCAGCTTCCGAACGGCGCGCCGTCCTTCTACTTCAGTCCGTTCACACGGGAAGAGTTCGACAATATCCTTAAGAACAACGACGTCGTGTATGCCGAGCGTCATCCCTGTACTGCCACAGTCGGGAAGATCTTGGGTTGGACGGTAGACTACGCGCCTCTCGTTCGAAACGAAGCGGGAACGTCCTTCGTGGCCCACGCTCGATTCACGAGACGGCTGCGTTGCTCTCTCGTCAAAGCGCATAGGATCTTGCCGCATTTGGACAAGAACGTATGGCCAGTGTTGGTGACGCCGAGAAGCTGGGGTTGTGCCCAGATTGGCAGCATTTGCTACCAACCACTTCAAAACTTTAACGAGAATGCTCTGATAATGGTAGGCAACATCCCGGGCGAAGTTCATCTGCGGTACATCGTCCTCGCACGACACACGCGAGAACAGCGACCCGATGGCAAACGCGTGGACAAGTACATCTTGACTGTCGCGGACTCGGCTGCTAACTTACGGAACAGACAAGCTGAAGGAGAGCAGGAAAACGTGAAGTGGGTTCTTCAGGGTGGCACGTACATGACAATTACCGAAGTGGATGAGTCTACTATCGACGTCGTGTTTGACCAGTGGGCCGAATGCCTGAATGAGGTGCACGGCCGAGAGCTCTACATCGACTGGATTCGATTCCCAGTAGGAATGGAACAGGCTGTTTCTCCGGCTAGACTTTTACGCTTTTAACAACAGAAAAGAGAGTATTGCCACATGCAAAGGTAGATGATCAAAGAGACTTCAAAGTATGACCTTCAGTTTTTTTTATCTTACATGCAGTTCGATGTAATATCAGAATGCGAGCGTCCGTGACGGCGTTACTAGCTGTTCCCAACGGATAACGATGTGGCCCCAGTCCACGAGGCAGTACTGCGCATGCTGTTCATTCATACAGCCGGAGCAGTGGTCGTACACCACCTCAAGTGTGTCATTATCGAGCTGCGTAAGCGTCATATACGCTCCGCCTTCGTTTACCCAGTGTACACGTCGCCGTTCGGCTTCTGGCTCCGCCTCGCGACTGCGCTTGTTTGCATCAGAAGTCACGACCACCAAGGCGTAGCTGATTGACCGTCGTCCGTCTGGTAGCTGAAGTCGTCGCCGACTTACTAAGTTGAGATATCGAACGTTGACACCAAGCGTGGGATTCGGAGTATTCCGCGCGATGACGTACGTGTCCTCGTCGACCGCTTGCAGAACCTGAGACGTAACTACATGGACATTCCCGTGGATACGCTGCCACAACTCAGGAGTCGTCAATACTGGCCAAGAGTCCACGTCCAGCTTGTCCATCGTACCATGCGCCGATCCTCCAGCACAGTGAATGCGTCGCGTGTATCGGACCCGCGAGATCAGTACGTTCAGAGTCGGATGAGGCATCAACGGCGCACGTTCGACGTCCCACCCGAACATGTTCCCCACAGACTCCATTGGCGGAGACATTGCGAACTTGGCGTCGTAACCTTGTCGAACAGCGTCCAGTTGCTCCTTAGAGAATGGATGGAAGTGGAAGGATGGCTCGCCGTCTGGAAAGTGGACGCGCCAGCCGCGCTGCAACGAGAGCAAGTACGATAAGGACGAGGAACCAGAGGACAGGGAGCTCCCCGATAGTGACGAGTCTGAGTTGCTCCCGTCCCGACTGCTGACGCTACTAGTGGGCTCAGTGGCGTTCGACTCGATCCCGTCGCCGGCTTCAACGACGCTTTCACGCAGCGTCTTGTGGTTGTCGATGCGATCTCGTAGCGCCGTATTCTCAATCTTGAGTGCTTCCGTCTCCGCTATCAAGTGGACTACCGCGGCGCGCTTCTGTTCGGTTCGATCAGGTCGATGCTGAGCTCTGGACGCGCGCGCCGCGGCACGGCGCTGCATGGCCAGATGCTGCTGTAGACGGTGTTCGAGCTGCTGGTGCAGGTTGCGCAGTTCCGCCTGCTGCTCCTTCTTCTTGCGTCGGAAGAAGACCATGTTCTCTCGATGCTGTTGGCGCTTCCATTCCTTCTCGTCCTCCTCGGTCCATTTACCCGCCGTGGACAGCAACCAGTGGCTCTCACTGGCCAACGGGCGGGCGCCGTGGCCAATGCGCAACGGCGCCGTCGTCGGCCGTACGGACATGAGTGTGAGTGTGCGCAGTAAGCAATGTGCGTCTTATCCGAACGTCCTTAAAGAGGAACTGCTTGTATGCTATTCAGAGCATTCAGTACGCCGAGGGGGGCCAGAGTCTCACGTAGCGTGTGTGCCGCAAAGCATCCGGTTCGCTGTCACCGGTACGGCAAGAGACGTGGCCTCCGTAGCTCTGGATCTCGAGGACACACCAAAAGGAGCTGACTCAGCGCAGGACCACACTTTGGATCGGAGCTGAAGGAGGGGTCACTACTTCGTAGAGCTACAGTTGTGGAGACCGTTAGAAAGTGAGGCGGTGCGACGGCATCACCAGTTGTTCCCACCGACACGCGATGCCCAGCACTTCCACCATAAGATACCGCACATGCTCTTCGCTCACGCACTCGTAGTCGCAGCCGTAATGCAGTCGAACAGTTCGCGCTTCGCTCTGCGTCGGTTCCTCGGTCAGTAACAAGTACGAGATGCCCCGCTTCATCCACTCAATCTCATGGAGTTGAGCTGTGATACCACCGACGCCCTGGCAGTCAGTTGGGCTCACGATCGTCTTCAGGAGCGCCACGACGCGCTCGTTCTGCGCGTTGAGTCCTCGCGCACGTGCGAGGATATTAAAGTAGCGGATACTCCGCTGCTCGCCGGACTGAACCGGCGCATTCTGGATAAGCACTGTCATATCCTCGGTCACCTTTTGAATGACGCGGGTGGTCACGGGTGTGCTGTAGATGGAGGCGAACCTCTTGGGGTCGTGGAATGCATGCCACGTACGGTTTACAATGTCGTCCATCGAATCGTCCACGACACGCACGGACTTGATGAGCTGGAAGCGCAGTATGTTCGGGTCTACTTCTAGAGGCCGCATTACGCGCCAGCCGAAGAATTCCAGCTCGGAGATCGGCACACGCCGCTCCATGAACTCTGAATACAGATGGAGCGTGCGCTGGAAAACTGTACGCACGACTTCTTTGCAGTTTTCCTCCGTAAGCGGCACATAGTAGATCGGGTCTTGGTCGTCATCGAAAAATATCCATGTGCTGGTTCCGCTGGTTGACCGTTCGGACGCGTTAACTTGCAAGTTTTCGACGCCCTTGACGCAATCTCCGTAGTCTGTTAAGACGTCGGCTTTCTCTATTGCATCGTATACTTTGGCGTGGTCTTCTATCCTCCGATGCAGCTCCTTGTTCTCCAACAGAATTCGTTCTTGTGTTGCGACTTGTTCGGCGTATCGGTGCATTAACTCCTGTTCCCTCGAAGTTCCGTCCTCGCAGGGCACCACCGTCGATTCCGATCTTTGTGTCACGGGGTGTCCGGTCTGCCGCAAAAGCTCGTGCAGCTTTCTACCTAACACTAATTCTTGCTGCTGGATCGCGGCGGCGCTCACCTTTTGACGGAGACGCGAGCGTGCCACCACCTCCTTATGGTACTGTCGTCTTCGCGCTGCCTTCGCTTCGTCGAGTTGCTGCTTATTTCTCTCGAAGGTTTCAATCTTCACCTCATCATCGAAGAGCGGTTCGCTCTGGAACGACGGCCACGGCGGCGTCGCGAACGGCTGCGACTGAACCTGTTGCTGCCCGTAGATCGCGCGCTCGTCACTGGTTTCGCTGCTACCACTACTCCATGAAACAGTCCCGCTGGTATCGACAAGGGAGCGCTGCATCTTGCCGCTGTGGTCCATTGCTATGAACAGACCGGGTCCTCGACTAAAACTCGAGTGGCAGGAATCGGACCGTCCGAACCGGACGGCGGGGTCCGTTAATTCCCAGCAATTCGTCCACCCTCCTGCGTTTTACACCGCCCGTTCGTGTTTTTGCCGCTTGCTTGCGTTAGGCCTCGCTGGAGGCGTTTGCGCGATGATTGTGGAGACCGGTAGCGATAGCTTTTCGTCCGGTCGGGCAGCTCTGCCCGTGCCTGGGGCGCAGCTACACTTGCTGACGTCAGTGGCGACAGTCCGACCGGCTTTGATTGGTCCTACCCAAGCGAGTCCTGTGTAGTGGCGAGGAACTCGCCAAGTATCTTTACTTTCGACTCATCTGTTGGTGTCTGATATCCGGTGGTTGTCATGAACCAAGGTAATGCCTGACTCGAAGGCAACGGGTGTCACATCAGTTGACTCGGGCTTGAAGAGGTGATAACTACTATTAAATTCATGTACTAGGCTTGCGGTCAATGCGATGGCATGCGGACGACACGATGTGGCCATGGTGTAAAGTGCTGAGCAAGATTTCAATGACGCCAGCGACCACTCCGCTTTGATTTGCGTTAACGTAACGTTACCTCCAGATCAGGGTCCGGCGGCATTCACGCTCATCGAATACATATTGGTGGTCGTCGTTGGATTAAGTATCTTTTTGCATTTCTTGCTTTTGGTTCCTTAAATAAAAGGATCGATTTGGAGTATTTAAATAGTGCTTTTTGGCCGAGTAACCTTGGTGACGACGGTGGCCTGCAGCGTCTAAGATATTCAAAGAGTTTCCTGCTGCCCGGGCTCAGCTGTGCAAGGGCGTGTTGGCGGTCTCGTGAAACTCATTTTCGTCGACGAATTTCTACAGTACGTCTTGCATCCCTAGTATGAGTGCGTGCGGCATTTTCTAGCTACAGTTCAACAATAATGCTAAAGGACGAGCCAAATAAAACAAGATATTTGCCAGGAAACAACAATAGACTACGTGAGTTGGCCAAGATTCCCAGGCGAGGTCAGTTTACAGTACGACTCGGACACAATCATGAATTAATTTATGGACAGACCTACTAACAAGTTACTTTTCGGTGATCGACAGTGTACGCATGGGTGTCACAAGCTGCTCCCAGCGTACGAGCGCTTCGCCCATATTCATAGTTACGAATGGCAGACCTGTGCACGAGGCTGTCACGCTGTCCACATTTGTGAGGCCTCCATACTCGATCTCGACGCTGTTGTCCTCGTCGATCTCCGTAAACGACAAATAGCTCATGCCTTCACGCATCCATTCTACCTTTGGGTTGGGCGAGTGGGTGTTGGCACGAGGGAAACACTTGTCCGGGTCGAGGATAGAGGTCAGCATCGTCACGCGACGTCTGGTATCACTCTTCCAGTTGCCCGGACTCTGGTCGATCACACAGTCCTGAACCTGTACGACCAGGCACACGAAACGCATGCGCATCACTGCGTTTGCATCTGGAAATGTACGCATCAGAACACTCGTGTGTGCGTCCACATTCTGCAGCATTTTCGACGTCATTGGACTGCGATACATCTGTGAGTACAGTTCCGGCGTACTGATGATTTTCCACGTTGCCTTCGCTAGTGTATCCCCCGTGACGCGTTCTCCATTGGCATCTATCGCGCTGATTCTCTTAGTGAATCGATGTTGCATGCGTATTTTGCTCATATTGTCCTCATGCATGGAGAAGTAAACTTTCCAGCCGAACGCTTCATTGTACAGTGTCCTAGCACCGGGACCACGTAGCATTTCCTGCATACGTTGGTATGTGGTAAAGGCGAGTTCAAGGCACGTGTTGCGTGCAATAGGCTGGTAGAAAATAACAGGTTCGTCCTCGGAGAAGACGATCCAGCGTCCTGCTCCTCCTTCCGGTACGAGCAGCTCTTCCGAGTCAACACTATGTTTGGGTAGCCGCTCGTGTTCCACGCCTAATAACTTGGTAAACTTTTGCCATTCGCGGAACCTCTCGGTCAGTCGTCGGTTCTCTTCCGTGATCGTGCCTTGCTTCAGCACCAAGCTTAAATACCGTTGCTGCACGAGTCTGGCGGCCGTGCTCTGACCTTTCCAGACTTCGTCCTTGTCATCTAAATTTTTGGAACTGTCTTCTAAGCTAGACGACACCTCGACTCCGTGCCCTTCGTCAATGCTTTTCTCCTGTAACTCGGTGGAGAGCCGCTTGATAGCGTGTTCTAACTCGCGCGTGAGGCGCTCGACCTCCACACGTTTGACTTCGATGCTCTTCTTCTCTGCCAGACGCTGGCGCTGCATGCGGTCGCGGTGTCGCGCCCGACGCACCTCGGCGGGCAAGCGACGGCTCTTAGAAGTGTCGACACTATTGGGCGACTTGGGCTGGGCCATCTTCTTCTGCACGGGCGAGAGCTCGAGCTCCAGCGGCTCCATCGTTACTGGTGCTGGACGTGCGCAATTTTCTGAACTGACGGCGCAGCGAAAAACTGGCGTGGCGAGCGTGTTGCAAAAACACTTGGCTTTTGTATTACGCGCCGTCCAATCTGTGATGTGCCCGTGCGCAAACGCTGTGCAAGCACTTTTGACGACTGATGCTTGCGGAGACGAAGCTCGTCAGAGACGCTCTGTACGTTCAAATGGTCATGAGGAAGTTCTATTAGAATTTAGTTGTTGACATAGAGGAGTGTACTGTACGATGGTCTGACGTTAGCAAGGAGATCTGGAAGCTAAGGGCCTTGAAACTACTTCGAAGTACGCATTAATGACGAGCTCTTGGTGATCGAGCCTTCGTTTGACGACCAAAAAAAAAAACCTGCTCGAGTAAACGATGTCTGTACAGGCATCGCAAAGGAAAAACATGCAATCATGTGGACAACCTAAGTATCCGAAGGACCGGTACTTCGAAATAGCAATGCACAGCATTTTACTAGTTACAAGAAAAAGGTGATACCACGCCTACTGATACCGGTGCAGGGTGATCTCGCTTTAACATTCCATGCACGGCCAGTAAATTGAACTACTGTAGTGTTTTGTTCTGGAAAAACATCTCAGAGTATCACACTGTGATCGCATCATGCTTCAGAACTCAAAAATTCAAAGTTTTAAGTCAAATCCAGTCGAATTGATGACTTTTGGACTTTAAAACTGCTTTCCTATTACACTACCAACACGCGCGTGCAAGCTTGCGCGTAACACCTACTGATTATTGCTGATCCATCGCTCAGTAGGCCAACTCCACTTCCAGAGCGAAAGAAGTGGCGCTCCAGCACTGGATTGTAGCAACGGTACACCCGGTGGAATTTGACCGTTCCGCGTGGGTAGCACGTGAATATAGTTGTCTGCAACCCCGTGAAGAGATGGCTGGTATCCCTGCAGCTCTAGGTCAAGATCATCGTCTTCATCGTCGTGTTGGTCAAGATAAGTACCGTAGGAACCAGATTCGTCCACATTTGCTTTCGTTTCAATCTGGCCCGTTGAACGCCAGCTCGCGAGTAGCTGTGCGCGCAGCGAGTGTAATGCAGCTAAGCGCACACGAAGCAAGCACAACTTTGCTAGATACACGCGTGCGAGACACTGAATCTGAATCACAGCGTTTGTTCGCTGTGCTTGTCTGGCCTGGAAATTGGGCAATATTAAGCGAACAATTCGTTGTGCTGCAATTGCTCTGGCGAGTGCTACAGCTGCAATTGTAGCTCGGTCAGTCAGCTCTTCCACTCTCTGTTCTTCGGTCACTTGAAGGTCAGGAGGTCGTTCTAAATCACGTGGACTTGCGAGAGCTGCAGGTATTTCAACATCGCTTACACCTTCGTTGTTCCCATCGCAAACGTCATCGCCCTCAGGTACCGTTTTAGCTTCCGAAGCAGGACCAATCTCTGACGTACTCTGTCCAACCTCTTTGTATGGTGATGAACGTTTTTGAAAAGAAATATCCACTGCAAGTTCTTTTTGGTAGGTGGTTTGGCTTTCGTCAATAGGCGCAGCAGTGGTCACGCTCTCATGTTTCTCGGGTGATTCATCCTGCTGTGGTACAATTAAGGAATTCTCAAAGAGGTCCACCCAGGACTCCAACTCTTGATCGCTCAAGCGCTCGTCACTCTTTTGCAACCCTTCGTCGATCAGGACAGGAGTCTGTTCCGTTGTGTTGAGGATGTCTTGATGAGGTGCTACATCTAAAATTTCAGTTGCATCTGGTTCACCTTTGACGATCGAGATGCAATTCGTCGTCACTTCGGTATCGGAACATGGACCCGTTTCTTGAGGGCCGCAGCCAATCTCCTTCTCCTTTCGAATATCACCAGACGAAACATCAAGCGTGGTGAACTCTGAGTATGTTATAGCAGCCTTCACTCGCTTTGAGTTCTCTCTCCAGGATTGATACCTTCGCAACAGTTTGAGACGGGCTTTCTGTAACGTATCCGCCTGCTCCTGTTGACGACGTTCTACTTCTCGTAGATAGCAGATGTGGCGATACTTTCTAAATGATCGCTGGATTGAGCGCGCCGCGCTTAAGCAAAGTAATCGTTCGATCTTTGCTAATCGATGAGCTTCCGCTAGTTTTCTTTGCTTCTCAAGCTCACGTATCCTCCTCCAGACATGCTGAATTTTAACAGCAGCTCGATGTCTTTGCAATTGCTTGGCTTGTCGTCGTCGAGTTAGAAATCTCATAATCATCATCTGAATCGCAACAGCGCTACGAAATTCCAGTCGGTACTGCACAACACGCTCCGCGGCACCTGCGAAACTTTGATTCAGGTTCTTCCTAGCAACGATTCCCACAAGACGACGGTAACGCGCTAAGGTGGAGCCCTGAATACCCTTCGTCATCATGATGCGGCGGATGTATCTACTCCATTCCGGTCGTCGGCTTTGTATTTGATTTTTGCATGGACTTGCACGTTTGACTTTAGGTATTGCTGGCGTCTCTGGTTCATCAAAGTTGATACTACCATCGTCACAGCGTTCGCCACTCTCGGTTACTGATTCATCCTCATTTCGTACAGCCAGCACTTCGTTGATTGCGGTCTGGATCGGCTCAGGAAGCGGCCGACGCTGCTGATTTCTGGTCTTTTCGAAGCTAGCGGGATCCAGTGGTGTCAGACGTTCAGCGCTGCTGTGAATTCGTGCGTTTGCTACTGCCACGTTATTGTTATTGCTCGGAAGCAGTTTGGAGTTCGCCATTGCACGTAGTTGACTCCGACTGTAGGATTCACGGTCATTTTCTTCAAGTTGCGAGGCGAGAAATGAGTGCAACGAATTGTTGCGTGTACTAGTGCCGATCTGCCCACTAAGGCGTCGAGCCAAGACGGGGAGAGTTACAGACGCTTCTTTTCGATATTGTTGGCCGGTATCCTTCTTCTTGGGCAGAGTTTTCGGCCATGAACGTCTGGATACTGCGGTATTCACCGAGAACGTGTCCATGGCGAACAATGGCTGTGATCAAAGTGCCCAATATATTTAAACTGATTTGGTGCGCGGTGGTTACCAAAAACTTAAATCTGCATGCTGCAAATGCCCCCAAGAAGATAATTAGAGAATAATACTTGTAAAGTAAAGCAGGGGCTACAGAAAAACAAAAAAAAACAACAACAAAATAAATGCTCACAGGAAATCTATGATTCTATCCAGTTTGTAATAATAAAAAAAAAGGTTCTTTGCGCTCAGGTGGTTGAAGTCTGTCCTTGTTGTGAACGGAAAACTCGCTATCCACGGATTCCGCCCAGGTCTCCACTGCCTCGCCTGTTAGTATAAACAAAAGCCGAGGTGATTCCGAAGTCGACCGGATCGGAGCAATGCACACTTTTTCGATACAAAGTACTTTTTTGCTGTAGAAAGTGCTCATAGCTTATGACCCACCATACTACATGTATAAAAGGCCATAAGCTATGAGCACTTTTTCGATACAAAGTACTTTTTTGCTGTAACTTGAAGTTAAAGGGACGAATCAGATCAAACAAAGTTACAGTGTTTTCTATTTTAGAGATTTTGCCGTCCAGATGCAATCTTGTTTCATCGATGATTCATTCCACATTTGGCGAGCAACCAGATACTGAGTCTCCATCATCACCTGGTATGGAGATCTCCCGTTTACTAGACACGCCTGCAAGCGACAATCAACTCCAGGATAACCAAGAACAACTTGTACGCAACAGTAACTCTAAACGTACCACGCAACAACAGTCTCGAGCTCTCGTTCCTAAGAGGAAAAAGCGGTGGAGACCGTCGCTCAAGCAAATTCGAGACAAAAACCAGCGCGATACCGACAATTCGCTGCTGCTGAACCTCACGTTGGACGTGAACGATCTGCGTCAGCAAGTGCATGACTGCCTCGTGCAGAAAAGCATCCGCGAGACGCGACTGCTCGTGGCCAGAGAACAGTTCCACGCTCGCTCGCTATTGTCGGTCGATGGCTTCTTCAAAGTATTTCGACACGGCCATCCTGGGGCTCTCAAAGCCTCCGATGAGCGCTTTTTGACCGGGTTATTGGACGAGAATATTGGCGTCGGTGGAGACGTCAGAGGCCGAGTGGAGTTTTACGAACAATGGCGACGATACAAGCAGTTATTTAACGTGCGACATATCCGTAACTTTTCGACCAAAGTTGTTAACAGTGACGCTGGGGGCTGCCTGATTGAGTGCACTGGGGAGTTTGAGGGGCAAGTTACAGTCGCTGCACTCCAGACTGTATTTCCTAACTCGTTGCACCACGACGCATTAGTCAAGCAAGTGCTGGGTCGCAGCTTCGTGTGTCCGACAAAGGCGCTTATCAGCATCGATGGTAATGGGCGTGTGGTACAGTACGATGCGTTTTCGGACGTGTTCGAAGCCATGAGCAAGCTGCTGGACTTCGATCCTCTTCAAGTTGTGACTCTGATGGCCGATGCTGCCATCAGTGAAGGCAGCATGCTTCCCCCAGTCGATGATGGCATCAACCAAGAACAAGGTGGGGGATGCAATCAAGAGGAGAGTAATGGTATTGCTGTGTCGCCTGTGAGCAACTCCATGTCATTCCGAAGTTCAATCGATTTCATCTTGTCATGACTTGGACCAACCGTGAGATATTGTAGCTTGGATCTACGAAGACACAGCGGCTTATTCAGTACGCAACGGTGACGGGGGTCGCCACCGAGTAGCTCGGTAAAGATCTTCTCTACACGACACAGGACCGGTACAGCGCCTATAGTAAAAGATGCCGTCGCGGATCAAATATATATATTCGCCCAGTCCTCGCTGGGCGATTGGTTTCGACGCTTTCCACCTCGTTGCTGGGGCTGATCATACTGACTACAAAATCTCGATCACGTCCGCTTCGTCAGACACAGCGGCTTGACTCTCGGTGTTTGCTGGTTGCTCGTTAGTGGCTGGCATTGGAGAATCCTCGTCGTCGGAGTCCAAAAGTTCAATGAAGTCGCTGTTGCTATCCACTGTCGTCTGCGGACTCTGATCGGCCGTCGTTGTCGTAGGAACTGGGGTAGTAGGAACAGGTGTCTTGGACTCAACAGCAGTCGCTGTAGCAGATGCGGCCTCTGCGGTTGCTGGTGTAGAGCTTGACGTAATCGGGATTAAAGGCAATCCTTTCTCCTTCGCAATCTCATTACGCAGCCAGATATCGTCGTGCACTTCCACATCTCCTGGCAACTTGGTCAGCTTCAGCCACTTCAACGTTTCTACCTTGCTCATCGCACTCACAATATCCGTTAGTTGAGGGTTCACCTCGATCGCTATTGTAGCACCACACTCTTCGGCCTTCCGCTTAAGATCTTGGCAGCCCTTCATACCTCGCCGCAGCACTAGCAGATGTCGGTCACGTAGCTTCATACTTAGGCGCTCCTGCAACCGCTTCTTTGCTTGCGCTTGAACTTGCTGGCGTAAAAGGATTAGCCGCTGCTGCTCTGCCCTTAACCGCTGTTGCTCGGCCTGATGGCGGTTTAGCAAGTCGAGGTGTTCCTTTTCAGTCAGCTTTCCGTCTCTTAGCTGCTGATCACGAATGGCTTGTAAGTGAGGAGGCAAGATCCGGCCATTCGGAGCTGGAGTCGGGACAGCTCCCGCGGCAGGTATAGGTGGTCGACCTGGGACGATTGTCGTCGATGGGATCAAGCCTGGCGCAGGCATCGCAACACCAGGCATACGGTTCATAAATGAAGGAGCTGGTAACTGCGACGGAGGGACTGCTCCTGTGGTTGACGTGGGCTGTCTGCAGTAGATGCACTCAATCCTCGTGGGCACTGGAACTTTGGTAGTCGAGGACGGGTAGATCTCGTTCGGCGCTCGACAATTGTCGCAGTGCTTCATCAACATACCTTCGCGGTTAATGAGGTGCGTTCCTCCTCTGCGTAAACTCCGCACCGCTTTAAAGTACATGTGAGTCTCCAGAATCTCCTTCTGCTCAGCGGGTGAACACTGCTGATCCAGATCTTCTTCAAACATGGTTTCTTGCTCGAACCAATCAATGATGCATCTCCTGTCCGCGAGCATACCAGCAGCGGTAATTTCTCCATTTTCACTAGTAGAAGCAGTGACAGTTGTTGATCGATCCCTCATATCAGTCAAGATACTTTCGAGGACCGAGTCTTCATGAGGAATCGCTTGGATAGCCAGTTCTTCATCATCTGCGGCCTTGCCTTGAGCATGAAGCAGAGAGTCTTCAAAGTCGTCGATACTAAAATACTTCTGGAGCTCCGAGGTCATGAACTTTCGCTCGGTTGTCTTTTCATCCACAATACGCTTGGCAACGCCTTCTTTACGGATCTGCAAGTCGTAAACTTTTTTCTCCATTGTACCCATAGTCACGAAACGGTACACAAACACCGGCTTGGTCTGTCCAAAGCGATACGATCGACACATGGACTGCGAGTCGTTGCAAGGGTTCCAGCATACGTCGAAGATAATGATCCGGTTGCCAGCACAAAGATTGATTCCTTCTCCACCTGCTTTCGTTGAGATCATAATAAGGTCGATATCTTCTTCCAGGTCGTTGAATTGCGCGATCTGACGGAATCTGTCCTGTTGAGACGTACTTCCATCAATACGCAAGTAGTTGAGACGCTTCGAGTGGCGGCGCTGGTACTTATTGTGCTTGGAGATCATTAATCCAATCGTGTCCAGCGTAGGGATACTCTGAGAGAAAATAATCACGCGGTCGCCGACATCCTGACACGCCGAGAGAAGCTCCATGAGAATCATCATCTTGCCACTGGCTTCGAGTTGATGTGGGACATACTTTTCCATGAAGTTCTGGGCAAACTTCAAGCGATGCCATCCTGGCTCCAAGGCCTTCGGTGGTTTCGGCGTTGGAGGGGCACTCGGAGCATCAAGCATATTCAACAATGCCGCCTCGCTTTCATCATCGTCGTCGTCATCGTCATTAATCGTAGGTGGGCCGCGAGTTGGTGGAGATGGACTGGATCTACGCACTTGTCTAGACGCAGGTACATCATCATACGGATCGAAGTCATTGCCGCCGTCCTCCACACCGAAGATATCCGATACACCTCGTCGGCTTGATTTTTTGCTGTTTCCATTGCGTTCTTCTTCTTCCAGACGCTTGTAGGTCTCACTAATGACGTCCGGATGGTTCGAGATAGCCAGCGCGATGTGATATCCACCAAGGACGTCCAACTTGTCAGAACTGCCACGAGTAGGAACGCCATATTTGAGAAACTCCCGATACAATTGGGCCTGCGCGTCCGTCAGCTTGCACATGAGTACGTATTCCTTCTTGGGTGGTAGTTGCTTGAACAGATACTGTTGATCTCGACGCAAGACTAGAGCCTTCAACTCTCGTGTCAGCACGAATGCTCGCTGTCGAGCCAGCCGCAAGTCTGCCTCGGAGCTATCGATACACTGTCCGTTCTTGATAGGAGCAACGAATCGGTTCTTGAACTCGTCCAAAGATCCCAGATAGTCGGGTCTCGCAAAGTTGACCATAGTCCAGTACTCTTCCAAGTGATTCTGTAGTGGATAGCCAGTCAAAATGATGCGTCGTGTAGTCTTGACGTGAGCTAGTGCCTTGACCAGTTTGGACTTGTGATTACGGACTCGATGGCCTTCGTCCAGCACGATAAGATCTGGACCTGGGTTGCACAGGCATTTGTATACCTTCTTGATCAGGTGCGAGTACTTCTGGTTACCTGGAGCGATCTTCTCCTCGCCACTAGATTGCAACACAAGAAGACGATACAGTTCATAGCCTGTAATCAATAATCCACCGTGCTTTTGCCACTGCTTCACAACTTGCACACGATCGGACATTTTCTTCTCACGACTCGACTCCAATGTGAACAATCCAAGTCGTCGTGACTCCTTCTTACCCAGCCATTTCACCACCTCAGCTTCCCAGTTACGTACACAAATCGTCGGGGCTAAGATAAGCACATGCTTATGTCTCTGCTCGAGTTTCCCAGCCTCATTTAGCGTCTTCTTCGATAGAAATGCCTGAACTGTCGTAATAACCTGTAAAGTCTTACCTAGACCCATGAAATCTGCCAAGACGCAGCCGAAACCTTGCGGTTCCACTGCAACATGGCCCCATAGAAACCTGGCACCGGCAATCTGGTGAGCCTTGAGCTTGTCAACGATGTCCTTGTATACAAAGATTGGAGCGTCTTCTGTGCCTTCTTCGCCTTCCGGTGGGCTACCATCTGTCGACACGGGGTTTAGACACAGTTTCTTCTCTACAGCTAGCTGGTCCTCTGACAGGTTAGAGAAGTTGCCTAGGATAGCGTCGATCTTTTCGGCACGTTTGGCTTCGGCCTCGCGAGCTCTACGTGTGCTATCATCCAAGTCTTCGTCGTCCATCACCTCCGCGATCTTGCGGCGGCGATTCCAGCGCTCCGCACGCTCCGAGCGCTCCGAGCGCTCCGACGGCTGAGCTTTGCGCTTCTTACCTGTCGCTTTTTTCTTACCATTGGATGTACCTTGACGCGTAGATCTGCGAGGCTGGAAGAAAGCGCTAATAGATCCGGCTTGGGCTTCCTCGTCGCCCTCCGCTTCTTCGAAGTCTTCACTTTCGATGCCGTCGCTCTCCTCTTCGCCGTCTTCGACGTCTACTGAAGCGTTCGGATCCCACTCGGCCTCGTTCTCATCGCTGCTGAGTGTAGTGGGCGCCTGTTCTTCGTCCGTGAGGATCTCGATCTCGTCCGCCGACGACATCTCGCCTGAGTATACGCCGCCGCCTCCGTGGTCCTTAGCGCGTGCGGAATTGTCTTTTTTGCCGCGCAAGGGAAACTTGACCATCACTCTTTTCCTTACTTAGATCAAGTTAAAATACAACTTCGAACTATTGATAATTTAATCAAGTCAAAGTTTTTCGGTGGCTGTCAGCTCCTATCCACCAATCAGAGTGCGCATTGGGACGAGGAACAAAAGTTGAAGCTATACCGAAGCTCATGCATTAGCTGCTGTCGCTGCCCTAGCTACAGAACATACTCATAGAGAACGCCTTGCGCCGGTGGATCTGCTGGATCGCTGTTGTCTGAATCGCTCTTGACCGGCGACGTAGCAGCCGAGCCCTCCGCTTTCTCTACACTGTCCGGGGATGCGGCTTTTGTCACGTCTGACTCGGTAGCGACTGCAGCTGAGCTGGTCTCGCTCTCTTTCGTGCTCTCGTTGTCGCCTTTGCTGCTATCATCGGCTTCTGAGCCTGACGCTGCTACAGTCTCTTTCGTCTCGGACGCGTCCGCGCCTGTCACGTCCTTCCAGCTCGTGACCGACGAGCTGCCGTCCTCGCTCTGCGTCTCCTTCAACTGCTGCTCCCACACAGCTGCACTCGTTGCCATGAAGGCCTGATTGGCTGCTAATGCACGCACGTTTCGCTCTCGTGTAAGCATCAACTGGTGATAATACGCCTGCACGTGCGCTTGCTGTCGTCGACGCTCCTCCAGCGCAGTCAGACGCTCCTGGATTATTCGAGGATCCATGATGCCACCTTGAAGTGGAATCACACTCGGGTCTTCGCTTCCAGCAGCGTTCATGGCCATACTATTCGCAAGCATCACTTGCTGGTGGTAATAGTACTGCTGAAGCTGTCGCTGATACTCTTCTGCTGCTGCAAGCTCAGCATTGGCCACCGTGATCTTGGTGACTTCACTTGCGTCGGTCTCCTCGGTATCACTGGTTGTATCAGCAGCGGTTGGTGTCTCCGCTGGATCCTGCAAAGACTGCTGGAAACCAGCTTGACTAGCATTAAGTTGCTGCTGTTGAACACGTAGTCGGAAGATAGCGGCAAGCTTTTCTCGCGTAGCGTTGCCTAGCCCACCATGGCGGGGAGGTAATGGAGCCGTCTTCGCAATAGCATTGGTACTAGCTGTATTCTTCTTGAGTTTCTTGTTCGATGGACTGTGTTTGGTTCCAGAGGCTGCAGCGTCGACGTCATCGTGACTCGTTTCTCGCTTCCGTTTGGATCCTGGACTCTCATTGTCACCATTACGTCGGCTTTTGCCACGTTTTCTGAGTTGATTCGAGGCCTCTTCCTCTTCTTCTTCAACATCTTCATCACTCAATGCGTCATGGCCTTCGATCTCAACGTCCAGCACCAAGTCAGCGGTCTCGCTGTCGTTCTTGCGCTCGCTGTCCTCATCTGTCGTGCCCACAGCGACTTGAACGCGTCTTGGAGTTCTTCGAACTGGTGACGCACTCGTCGACGACACTTTCTTCCCACTGCGCGGCGATTTCTTGGTAATCTTCGTGTGTTTCGGGCTCTTACGTCTTGCTGGAGATTGCTCTTCTTCGCTCTCCTCGCTGTGTGTCTTACGATTACTACAGCTCTGTAGAGCTTTTCGTGCTGCTTGTTGCGCCTTCGGGGACATCGCAGGTCGTTTCTTCTGTGAGTTCCTTGGCTTCGTCTTGCCACCTGCACGTTCTGCAGCCACCTCCTCTTCCGTGGCGAACAATGAGGTGCTGCCATCCCAGCTCGCGTACTTGTTCTTGGACACCTCGCAGTGGCTACCGTGTGCTGCTACTTCTTCTAGTCCCACCCAGGCATCGAACCTCGCGTTCCAGCCCATGTAGTGCACAAAGAGTAGCTCCTTCTCTGGATCCAAGTCCAGGATCCTGGCCTCAGCAAACTGTTCTCCTCGGTAATGCACGTCCACCATAAGTTGGTAGCCATGCAGAGAGGATGCACCTACAGTCGGTTCCTGTTTCTTCTTGACCTCTTTCTCTTTCTTTGTTTTCTTATGATTACGACTTTTGTTCTTCTCGTCACCCTCGTTCTCCTGCTTGGGCGTTCGACTGCGCGCTGCGGGGCCAGAAGACTCAGCAACCACCTCACCAATCTTTGCGCTGGCACGCACAGCGGCGCGTCGTTTGGGGGTCGGTGGTGGAAGAAACGGCACATCCATTTTCTCATCCTTCTCGGCCGCAGACTCCGGCGGCATCGTGGAGCGCAGTAGCCTCCGCGTCACGTACATGATCCCACGATCTTCAGTTTTGTGGAGCTAAATGTGGGTACTGGAGAGTGCCTTTGGCGCTGTTAGCTTGGTGTGCAGCAAGTGTCGATGTTATGAGAGTGGATTGCGTCACTCTGCTTGGGTGGAAGAGCCCAGACAGCGAGTTTGTCCTTCGTTGCGCGAATGCTAAAGTGGGCAACGAATTTGGCCGAAGGGTCGCGAGATCTTTCCATGAAGGGGTACCGTGAAGGCACAAAACTGACGGAGAATAGTAGTTCTTTTTATGTGGACCACAAATGGCTACATGTGCTTCAACTTGAAATCGTGCAGCAGCGGCTCGAAACAACCAGGTCGATATAACGGACGAGAAGTATCAAGAGATGCGCTCCTGGATCACGATGAATGCAGCGGTTGAACTGCCGAGAAACGTAGTGTAGTTGAGTTTTAACTTTTGTACTTGATACGGTGGGGTTAGTTCTGGGCGCTTCAGATCATGGGGATTTCGCTATTGCGTGAATTGGTGCTGGACTTGTGTTGGTTGAGCCGTAAGAGCTCATGCGTCGAAGGGCTAATTTCGTTGGTGTGCCGTCATTAGGTACATGGTGTACGCGTTGTGACGCTGCTGAGAAGAGTGTACGCACAGGCGTTGGGCTGGATGGTCTAACATCGGGTGTAGGCGGCACAGCGCGCTCGGACTGACGTACAGCCCGACGAGCCATTTCACGCCAGTCAATGCGCCACAACGTGAGCACCATCAGACCAAACTTAACGATCTCGCCGCAGACAGCGCCCCACCATAGTCCGTGCAGTCCCCAGTTCCACGAGAGACCGAGTAGGTACGATGTCGGTAGCATAGTGAGCCAGGATCCAGCGGTCGTGATGGCCACCAGTGTTGCCGCTAACGACATGGCCTCCACGACAGCAGACATGATGATGTGTAACCCTGATAAGAATACGGCGAAGCAGAAGATAGGCATTGTACTGTTGATATCTGCGGTCACGACGGGGTCCACAGTGAAGAACCCGATTATCGGTGCTCGGAAAAGATACGTCAGCAGCGCGCACACAAAGGTGGTGATGCCTCCTAGCAGTGTACTCACATACAGTGTCTGCTTAGCGGCTGCAGGACGGTTTGCTCCTAAGAAGTTCGCCGAGCGCACCTGCATAGGCAAGCCGAATCCCCAGTAGATACCGAACGTGAGACCCCATAAGCTGAATAGGACGCTGTTAGCCGCTAGCTTGACCGAGCCTAATGATCCTGCCAGTGCTGAGATCACATTGTAAACCCACTCGTCCAGTGCCTGGTTGATTGTCATTCCAACTGAGAGAGAAACGAAAGCACGCACACGTTCCCACTGCATGCAGGCTGCAAGATCGAATCCAGCCCACGTTTTCCGGTGGTAACCTTTGTACCAGAATCCGTACACGACTAGAGCTACCGGTTGAAATATCGACGATACACTCTGCGCAATGGGCGCACCGATGAAGCCCAGCGCTGGAAAGGGGCCGCAGCCATAGATAAACGCATAGTTGGTGATCAATGACACACCGACGCTGGCAACGCCGATGACTGCCGGGGGCTCCATTATCTCTTGCGACTGGAGATACTGTCGAAGCGCACAGTAAATCGCTTGTGGTAGAACCGTTGGGGCAAGAAAACGAGCGTATCTGTCGGCAAGCATCAACACCTCAAGGTCGTCCGTCACCAGTCTCAGGACGATATCCACATAGAAAAACGAGATCATCACTGGAATAGATAGCAAGGTGATGAAAATCAGAGCGAGCTGGAGCCAGACGCCGACGAGAGCATAGTTCTTAGCGCCGTATGCTTGGCCACATAGTGTACACACTGAAATGGCGAAGCCAAAGATGAGCATCTGCACTCCGTTTGTCCACACGCTCGCCAGTGCACTAGCCGCGAGTTCTTTTGATCCCAAATGACCCAGAAACATTGTGGACACCGTTGATAGCGAGATCCTGCAGAACGTCGTGACACTAACCAACCAGCCCATGTTCCAGATCGCGCATGATTCCTCGTTGAAAGTGGGAAGCGGTTCCTCTGCTTCATCCTCCTTCATCGAGGCGAACTTGTCGCTCACCAGCAGCGAAGTCCTTTCATCCGCGATCTTGCGTTTCAAGAACGAGGGACTGTCGTCTTCCTGGTCGACGTGCACGACAATCTTGGTCTCGTCGGCGCACCACCGTGGCATCGGCTGCCCGTCAAGCGTCTTCGTGAGCGTCGGCATGGTCATGGAAAAGATCTCCTACTGAGTCAGTGAAAAGGTTATCTGGTGCAGCGGGGGTGTCAAATACCCATGTGAGTAAAGAGCACTCCAACCTTTGCTTCGGAAAGTAGTTTCACTTTCTATCAATACGCGAGGACTTTGTCTAAGCAGCGGAAACGAACGGTCGAAGGGCCAGCGCGTGACGTGGGGGTGGACGCGAGCCCGATTCGTAGAGCTTGGTCTGTCGATTGAAAACTTCGATAGAATGCTAGACTCTGTAGCTACGATGGATGGATCGCAACATGGTCAAGTTGAAGTCTTTCCGCAGTTTCTGCAACTTTAATCATATCCACAAATGAAACTAGTTAAACCATTCATTGATTTTATAAAACTCATCAATCTCTCCCAGGCTCACTTTGTGAGTAGCATATCTACTGCTCACGATTGAAGTTGTGAAGCGCGTTCACCGAGCCGTACGAATTGCTGTGCATTGTATTCCGCTTGCCAGCTGCTTCATTTGCAGTCTGGTGATGGTGGTGAACACGCTGCGGCGTCGAAAGGATAGCAAGCACGGGTGTGGTGCCGGCCATCGTGGGTGTCGACGGCAGCACGAGTTCGGACCGCAATCGGATGTCTTCTTCCAGCTCCTCTTCAGTCAGAACGTCGCCCTCCGACTGGATCACAGCACGATGTGCCATCTCCCGCCAGTCAATGTGCCACAGAGCCAGCGCCATCAAGCTAAACTTGACCGTCTCTCCTACTAGACTACCCCACCAAAGTCCGTGAAGTCCACCATTCCATTGAAGACCCATGAGGTACGAGGCCGGTAGCATAACAACCCACGATCCGATCGTCGTGATGGTTACCAAAGTCGTAGCGAGCGACATGGCCTCCACAACTGCCGACATGATAACGTGCAGACCGGAGACAAACACTGCAGTACAGAAGATAGGCATGGTGCTAGTGATCGCAGCGACCACTGTGGGGTCGTGAGTGAAAAATCCCGCAAGATGATCACGGAAAGCATACACAAGCAGCGCCGACACGAAGGCCGTCAGTCCACCAAGCACAAAACCAACGTGTAGAGTGCGTTTCGCAGCCACAGGGCGGTTCGCTCCAAGGAAGTTGGCGACGCGGACTTGCGTAGGCAAGCCGAAACCCCAATAAATGCCGAAGATAAGCCCCCATAAGTTGAATAGAATACTATTAGCCGCCAAGTTCCACGCACCGAGCGATCCTGCAAGAGCTGAGATCACGTTATACACCCACTCGTCCAATGCGAGATTCATCGTCATGCCAGCGGATAGGAACGCAAAAGCGCGCATGCGTTCCCATTGTAAGCAGGCGCGGAGATCCCAGCCGAACCACGTCTTCTTGTGGTAACCTTTGTACCAGAACGCGTAGATCACGAGAGCTGTGGGCTGGAAAATAGACGACACGCTCTGAGCGATCGGTGCTCCAATGAATCCAAGTCCTGGGATCGATCCGCAGCCGTAAATGAAAAAGTAATTCGAGCCTAGCGATACAGCGACGCTGGCAATACTGATGATCGTGGCTGGCCTGACGATCTCCTGTGCCTGAAGATACTGCCTCAAAGCACAGTAGATCGCTTGAGGAAGCACACTTGGTGCTAAGAGCCTCGCGTACGTATCGGCCAGTTCCAGAATCTCATGGTCATCCGTTACGACGCTTAGAATCCGGTCCACGTAGAAGAAAGAGACCATAACCGGAACCGACAGCATAAAGAGGAAGAGCAATGCCAATTGCAACCACACGCCCACGAGGCGGTAGTTCTTGGCCCCGTATGCCTGGCCGCAGAGCGTACACACGGAGACAGCGAAGCCGAAGATGAGGATCTGCACACCACCCGTCCACACGTTGGCCAAGGCGCTGGCCGCCAGCTCGCGCGAGCCCAATCTGCCTAGGAACATAGTTGAAATGGTTGACAAGGAAATACGACAGAAGGTCGTGACGCTCACTTGCCAGCCCATGCTCCAGATGGCCCACGCTTCCTCGTGGAAGGTGGGCACGGTATCTTCTTCTGTTTGAGTTGCATCTGTATCGGCCAGCAGGCGAGTTTCATCCGAGTCAACCACTGGCTTGGATTGCCAGCCGACGGTGTCATCGTCGAGCGAGTAGTGGTCGATATGCACCGCGTGGCTCGACGGGGGCGTGTCCAGTGACAGTCTCTGCGCGTCTCCCGGTGCGCTAGGGTCTGTAGACGAAGTCATGGTAAGCGAAAGTCGCCACTAGCGAATTGAAGCCACCAGTCTGTCTATTTTTTTGCCGTACAAATTCAATGCAATTTTTGTCAAACAACTGTCAATTTGCTGATCACGGTGAATTTGCGAAATTCAGAATTTCAACTTGAGATTCTGAAATTCAAGTGAGTAAGTTGAGATTTACTGTGAATTTCATCCCAGCCGGTAGATCACTTAACAAGATTTGCAATGAATCAAGTTTGTTCGCGCGATCACGAAAGGACAGAGGTGCAAGTTGAATCTACTGCCGTAACAAGCTCCTGTGAAAGCATCAGGAATGTGACTGTAAATAATAATTTATTCTCTTTACAACTCACGAAGTCAAAGTGTATGCGGCAAATAACCGCCCTCATAAAAAATGTTGTTGATGCTCAGGGAATGACGGCATTGCTCGTTTTACGGAGCTTTGCCACCCTGTGCCTCGTTGTGCTGCTTGCACAAGTAGTTGTGCTTTTGGTAGGAGCGTCGGTTGCAGCCGTCCACCTTGCAGCGGTTGCCGCCGCCGTGAGCCCAGCAGAAGCCGCCGGGTGCCGCCACCTTGGAGCAGCCGGGAGCGTCGCAGATGTGGCCGCCGCCGTGCGACCAGCAGTAGCCGTAGCGCTTGGCCTTGCTGGTACAACCCGCGATCTTGCAGAGCTTGCATCCGCCGTGGTGGAAGCAGCGGTTGTACAGACGTGCGCCATGGGTGCAGTTCGGGTACGTGCAGCGCGAGCCGCCTCCGTGACGCACGCAGCGGCCCCGTGAGACCGCGGCACGCGGGCACTCGTCTTGAGCGCAGATTGAGGACTTGCGCACGCGCATCTTGCCGTGGTGGTTGCCGACAGCCAGCAACTGTTCCACACGCTTCTCAATGATGACGTTGCCCGAGAGCAGGCTGCGACCGCCGATATGCAGGTCAGAGATGCGAGCGCCATCCTCGTTCACGTCCGAGTCATCGTTGCCGTCCGAGTCGACCATGCCCATGTCTGCCTTGCTGAGGGGCGACATAGTGGGCGACACGGAGGCGCTACTGCAGCCGAGTGAGGGTGTATGCAGCGATGCCGTCGACGGAAGCGATGACGGGTTCAAAATGAAGGCCAACGCCGTCTTGTTCTCGTTCTCTCGAAACATCACCGGCAATATGGTTGTTCAAGCGAAATGTTTTTAAAAAGTGGTCGTTGTATGGAGAACCGCTTCAATCGGAAAATGACAGAACACACATGGGCTTGTGAAGTCTTTTGCCGCACGCACTGCTATGCCGAGGATGGACGCGTCCCAGCCGGCGGCCCCATCAAGAGCTCCACCGTAGCGCGTCGAGATTGGCCGAGTCCGGCGTGACGCACTCTGCGTAAGTTCTGCTTTGGGGGGATGGGGCGCAATGACGCCGGGCGCCGGCCAAATGGAAACCGCCATTTGTGCCTGTGCTGGTGGTGGAGGCCTGCTTCAACACTGGCATCGATGGCCGCTCAACGGTGGCGTTGAAGCTGAAGTAGAGCGTAGATATAAAACAGGCTGCTGCAGCAGGTGTTCTTGTTGGCACCAAGCAAACATGATGCATGCTTGGAACTGAGGCGATAGTGGAGACTAACAGCGAGAGAATGGATAGCAGCGTCGACCGACTTTTGAAGTTGCGATTCTCGTGATCATCCTGGACGGACAATTCGTTCAGCTTCAGGCTCGAGCGCCGGCACGCGCAGACCCGATCCTGAGAGCAGGCCGTGACGCGCCGCGACAGGACGGCAGCAACTTCGACGTTTAACGAAGGAGATGCACCGGAACGCATCGAGACCGTGCAGCAAAACACTCCGGATACCACGACGAAGTTGCCCGCGCAGTGACTAATACATTGCCTGCAACATACATGTATGCATGGCCGAACTTGGAGTTTGATTGCAAAGCATTGCTTGGTGGGCATTCACTGTTAACTTGACTAGCGAGGATCTGCAGAGGCACTTCTGAAGATTCTCATCTTTCTTCAAGGTAATCAGACTGTGCGCAAAAACGAGGAGAATCCGGTGTTGGGCCGTTGCACTTGCCCCCAGCGATACAGCGCTTACCTTGAACTGCGGTGACCAACACTGCGCGAAGCTCGCAAAGCAAATCAAAGCAACGTTGGCGGTGCCGCGCTTCGAAGTCGGGAAAAAAAAAATCTCGCCCGCCAGCCGCCGTGTGGGCAAATGGGTGTCGTCGCTTCTACAAGTGGTCTCAGTGTCATGTGTACCAAATGGTTTTTGCGTGATGGTCCCCTCAGCGTCAGCGGCCACTGCCGCCAATAGGGCGTCACCGAGCGCAACGCGTCATGGCACCGGGATTTATCGGCCGCGTCGCGTGAGGACGTGGCAAGCGTCGAATGTACTGACGTCGGGCGCGCTTGCTGGCTGCACTGCCAGTGCCACTGGACTCTAGTCTGGAGCAGTTGAGCGAGAACAAAAGGATGATGAGAGCCTTCTTCGACGAAGTGGAACAGCAAGCCTCAGCTCGCCTGAACGAGTTGATGCGGTTTAACCTTGCGGTCTGATTGGTGCGTAACTGGCAAGAGATCATCAGCGTCCAGCTCATATCAGCGTGACGTTGTCCCGATAGGAGCTCCTAGTGCTTTCAACAAGATCGCAGTTCTGTGCGTGAGGAGAATAATTCAGTAGAACGATCACCAAAAGAAGGATTCCAAGTCAATCAGCTTGGCATTTTTGCTTAACTTTTACGGGAAGCTAGGTTCGCTTCGCTTAAACCAAGGCTAGGCTAGGCTAGATTCCTCGTCCTCTTGATAATACTTCAAATTTGACTCCGAATAAATAGGCACCACGGGGCAGTGAGTTTTCCTTGCTTACACGTTGTAAGTGGAGTGAGCCTTGCAGTAGTAACCGTACTTTTGGTACGAGCGCTTGCTGCAGCCCTCGAGCTTGCAGCGGTTGCCGCCGCCGTGTGCCCAGCACGAACCGCCCTGGGCCGCCACCTTGACGCAGCCGTCGTGGCTGCAGATGCGGCCGCCACCGTGCGACCAGCAGTAACCGTATCGCTTGGCCTTGCTGTTGCAACCTGCAGCCAGGCAAATAGTGGAGCCACCGTGCTGAAAACAGCGATTGCGCAGCTTGGCGCCGTTTGTGCAGCCTTCGAACGTGCAGCGGGAGCCGCCGCCGTGACGTACACAACTGCGACGCGAGACCGCCAGACTGGTACAGCCCTTCTCCTTGCAGAGACGTGTCTTCTTTTTGTGCGAGGACGAGGACGAACCCGTCTTGGGGCTGTCGGTATCAGAGCTCTCGCCCTCAGAACTTGTGCCGCCGGACATGCAGCTGTCAAGGGTCGGCGACGACACGGATGGTACGAAGATCGACGGAAGCACCGTAGTGGTGCGAATCTTCTTGTTGGCCGTCAGACCGGGAAGTTGCTCGAAGTTTCGCTTATGTCGTAGCACGGGTGTGCTCGGACCACGCAGCAGCGCGGCCAGCACAGCTTGCTCACCGTTCCAGCCCGAAACGGAGCTGGGCGAGCCCGCGCTCCAGGTCGGCGAAATGCAGGTGGACTTGGGCAGCAGCGAAGTCGCCGACGGCAACAGAGGCACGAGCCGCACGGCCTCGACGACGGGGTTAAGGATGAAATCTAGCTGGGTCTTGGTGGTCATTTTACCAGCTTGAGTTATATGAAGCAAATTGAGTTGTGGTGGCAATTCTGGCACTGCGCAAGAGGTTTCGTGAAGCGAGCGCAGGCGAAGCAGGAGGCTGGTTTAACTGCTGGCGTGGCGAAGCCCAATGAGATTCGCGCGCGTACAGACGTCGAACCAAATGCAAAAATGGCGAGTGGGGCGAGGAGGAAGATGGCGCAAATGCGGCGCCTGACCGCGCAAATAAGAACGCATTCCGGTCCAGCCCCCGGAATGCCACTTTGGTCAATTAGCCGAGTTCATTGGCGAATCCTAGGTCCGCCGTAGCCACTTAGGTACCGCGAATTCGTCTACGTGGACAGTTGAGGCAACGAAGTCAATTTTGACCAATCCCCGCTCGCAAAATCAAGAGACGCGCAGCAACGGCTGTGCTTGGACGGGGCAGGTCTCTTTTATCACACGATTGCCCTCCAACACCAGAACACCATTTCTGCTCCGGTGTTTCCGTGACGGCGGCATTCATCCCACCAATTGCAGCGCATGTATCTCCGACGCGGCTCGTTATGCGCCAATGAGCACTGGACGCCTTAACGCGCTGCCTGCAAGTTCGAGGGCTGAATTTAGCCTCTGCCGTCTAGATGTCGTACAATTATAATAGTGTAATGCTCGCTACAATTTAAGCCAACATTTCTGAAGTCTTTCGAGCCACCAGAACGGGTTTACATGTTACCAAGACACAAGTTTTCTCGACCAGCAGATACATGTACATTGGCTGAGGGCACGCGTGGATTACATGCTTAGAGAGCGGGTGCTAGCACAGCTACTGCCAGCCTGGCAGACAACGTGCCAAATCGCTCCGTCGTCGGCGCGTGCTCTCCGCTTTGTTCTGGCTCAGAGCAGCGCTCTGTCAGAGATTCTTGACGGCCGCGCCTCTTCTGTACAGTTTGGGGACTCGACTGGCTGTGGCAAGCTGTTGGGCTTTGCGACTGTCGCATGTGTGCTTGAGCGCAGTGGATTTGGCCGAATCTCGATGCAGTGATCGCGCCACAACGTGATTGAAGTGTACCGTCGAATCACCGAACAGAATCTATCGCCGGCGACGGCAGATTCCATTTGCAGACATTCGGAGCTCGGCAACTCGCGAAGCGATTTGTCCTGCTAAACGTGTACACGTATTAAACGAAGTACTTCAGGCTGCCACGAACGACAAGCACCATTCATCGCGCTGCATATTGCCTACTTCAGTAAGAGAGGCTGGACTCCCGCCGATTGACTCCGCAACGAAATCTGCAATGCTGCGTGGAATGAAAACTCTAGTTCGGTGGGTAGATGTCAACTCGCATTAGTGTCGGAACAATTATTAGTCGGTACTGATTAAATGCTTTGGTGTTCGAACTGTACGTGGGGGGGGGGGGTGCTCATCGTAACTTATTGCCGAGTGACATGTATGTCGCAGAGGCACAGGTTGCAAACTGAACTAGAATTGCTACAAGGAGTGAATTCGGGCGAACGTGATCATTCGAGCTTCATATATTTGTAGTTCAGTGAAAGCCCCCTACCTACAAACTGCTGGTAGAAAGGATCAAAATCGCTGTACATGTACTGTTGAGCAGAATCTGGTACATGAACGTTCACAGCTCTCGTGTTGTGAGCACACGAACATGCAAAACGAGTCGGAATCTAACGGAATCTGTTTGCGCTCGTTTCAAACGTGTTGTTTGCGGCGATGATGTCCCATCGTTGTCGTGGGTTTACCATCCAAACTTTGTCTGACGAGTGAATCCTGTAAACACCTGTGCTTGAAGTATTTCCTACACCTTCAACCAAAAGTACATGCACTGCAGTTTGCCATCATACGTGAGCTTTATAACTACCTTCGAAATAGAAGCAGCACCTTATTATAGCAACGATAGTATCGATCATCTCTGCTCTTCTACTCGTTTGCAACTCAAAGCGATTGGATAGCTATTTAGACGTGGACAGCACAGCTAAAAACAGCAAATGCTCTTGCTATTTAGGCATCATCCTGATCCAACCTGCTTTCCACGACGGCCCGTTCGCTCTTCGGTCGTCGTTAAAACCCTCCCGCTGTTGCGGGATTCCTAGCAAGCAGCGTTATGGCTGTGCATGTAGCCGCAGACTACTCAGGCTGGGTGCGTGAGCTAGATGAATACCAGAGTGGCGACGGTCAACATGATGAACGTCTCGAAGCTTCGAATGATAGTGGCAAAGCATCTCGACCGTCAGTAAAATCTCGTTCTGAAAGCACAGCGAATGCAACCCGAAAGATGAAGCCACGCACAACGAGCGCCGCGCCAATCTCACAGGCAGAAGAGCTACAGCAAGAAATGAAGTTGCTGAACTGGCACAAACTCGCGAACGAGGCAGCTCTCAAAGCTGCCATCATCAAGACCAATAAGATCAAACAGGAGGACTCGCAGTTCGCGAGTGCACTTAGTCAGGGAGAGCGCGAAGAGCGTGCGCAACGTGCTCAGCAGATTATTGAAGAGGAGCAGCTCAAACCTCTGCAGGTGAACTCTGAGTTTTTCCGCAACCTGGAAGCTAAAGGTCAACGTGACGAGGCCAAGCTCGATGATGATGTACAGCGCCACATCCAGCATCTTCGAAAGCTCAAAGAATCGATGGCACAACGTGAGGATATGCAGCGAAGGCGCCAACAGTATCGAGAGAAGATGCTGGAGCTTCAAGCTAGTGGGAACGATACCAGTCGGGCCAAGACAAAGGGGTCGAATCAAGACGAAGAATCAAACTCGCCTAACAAACGTGATCGGGGGAATAGTAACAGCGTGTACCACCGAGCGGCGATGGCTGCTGGCGGCAAAGCTGCCCAAGACAACGCAAACGTGGTGACCAGTCTTGACAAACTGATGGAGCTTGAGCAGCGTATTAGAAACCTGGAAGATGCCGGTTTAGCGGTGGATGATCTCGACGACGCGCGAGATGGTAGCAACTCTAGTAGAACAGGAGCGAAGCAATCCACCGCTGGAAGCGGCCTCCGGTTTGCTAAGAGAAGAGCTACTGGTGGGCTACACGAACCCTCCAGAACTGTGTATGCTGTCACAGGGCCGACCAAAATGCGTGCACGAGATAAAACACCAGTGTCTTCGTTACGACGGACACAGGGATCGACAGCAGCGGCGAACGCGAAGAAGCGCGCGCTCAACAACAATACCGGGGCGAGAAATAGGACCAGATCGAAGACAGACACGTTCCTCACGAGTCTCCCTGAGAGCAAGCAACGACAACTTCGACGCATGACGGAACGCGAACGACGTAACTTTCTCAAGAACGAGAAGGCAACGGAAACTCAAAACCAAGCACGCAAGCAGGATGTTGTAATTGAAGGATGGCTTGAGAAGAAGCGTGCCGCTGCGAACCAACGCAAGACCACGGCGTCTCACGTGCGAGCTGGCGCAGCAGCAAAGGCCGCAGCAGAAAGAACTCAGAAGCAACGAATGCCTCCACCGCCTCGTGTAAGAGCTCCCTCCGTCGGTGCAGCGTCTGGAAAGCGTATTGCGAACTCACACCTGCAAAAGCTCGATGACATTAAAAAAGGATACAACAAACGGAAAGAGGCGTTCCAGCGACTACCGGCGACAACTAGCACCAGATCTACTGGCCGGTTCAGCTCAACTACCGCACATGCTAGCCGAAACCAACGATCGTTTGCTCGGAGTGCGGTAATTGGAGCTAATACTCGGCAGACCGCAAGCTATAGCGGAACCAAACTACCGCCTACCCGCTCTGTAGTACCAACTAGGACTATGGCAACTCGACAGCCATTAAGTCGGCGTGGCGGACCAACGTCCGGTCCAGTGGCGGGGCACGTCACTAACAAGCTACCACAAATCCAGCGAAATATAGCGCCATCCAAAGCTCTGTCACGTCCTGGACCAGGCTTAGTCGTCGGTAACAGCGCCACTTTGCCAAGGTTATCGACTCAGGCAAGACCCGGGCCTATGCCGCTGCAGCCTTCAGCCGCTCGGAGCGGCAACATGCCGACGTTCAGCCGTCTGCACAAGCGATAAGCAAAATATGATGTTGAAGTGGTTTTGCCACATGGCTACACTCATTGATTCCCTTCCCAATCTGCAATTCGAATACAGAGGGGAATCTGATCAGTCTCCCTGCTGTCCATTTTTCATTGGCCAAAACACCTCACTTACAATAATCAAGTGGCATTTTAGACGCGGGAATCCGCCACTCACTCCAACTCTCGACTAGCGTTAGCCCCATGTCTTCTCTGTTGGGTGACGTGGCCATTGAGGTGGTGGCAGCGGCATCACTAGCCGCCGTTGCGTCTGTCGCGGCCATGGGTGCGCACTGCACCAAGCGCCAACACGGTCCTGAGGAATCCTCACTCCCCGCGCGCAAGAAGCGTCGCCAGAAGAAGAAGAACGCCGCGCAGCAGAAACACCCGGCAATTGTGGCCAATGGCGTTGCCATCAACACGGAGCCCGTGGTTGCTGAGCTTAAGCGTCGCGCTGCGTCCGCCAAGTGGCGCCACAAGCTCGTCTACACCTTCTTGGACGATCTGGGCCGTGAGACTGTCAACTTGAGCTTCGAAGACGTGGACCGCGCGGCACGTAAAGTGGCCGCTGCGCTGCAGCGCGACGCTCACGTAGTTAAAGGCGACCGCGTGATGCTATGCTTCCCTCCTGGTCTCGACTTCGCTCTGGCCTTCTGGGGTTGCCTATACGCCGGCGTCGTGGGTATCCCCGTGTACCCGCCGTATCCGGGCACTTTGGCCAAAGATCTCCCCAAGTTCAACCGGTTGGTGGAGGACTCTGGGGCTGCGGTTGTGCTGACGAACACGACGTATCATCTTGCCAGCAAGATGGCTACAGTGAAAGGCTACTTCTCCACGTCCAGGACGTCGTGGCCCGCCAACTTGCAGTGGATCACCACGGACAGTCTGCCGGATTCTCTAGTCGCGCAATACGACGAAGAAGACGCTCTGTCATTAACAGCGAATGACGTGGCATTCTTCCAGTATAGCTCCGGATCCACCTCCGCTCCTAAAGCTGTCATGATCTCTCACGGCAATTTGAGAGCTCAATTGAAGACGTGGGAGAGCATCGAGCCCACAGACACGATGGTGAGTTGGCTGCCGAGTTACCATGACATGGGCCTGGTTGGATTTATCATTACCCCTTGCGTCACTGCTGCGCGGTGCGTTAGTATGTCTCCTATCAGCTTCATTAAAGACCCGGCGTTGTGGATGCGTACAGCCAGTAAGTACAAGGCCACGCACGTGTGTGCCCCCAATTTCGGCTATGCACTAGCAGCCAGAAAGACCAGCGACAAGCAGGCGGCGGCGATGGATCTGAGTACGTTAAAGCAGACAATCTGTGCTGCTGAGCCTATTCGTCGTGAGTCTCTAGAGGCATTTACATCCAAGTTCAGTGCGTCTGGTTTTGATCCCAATACGTTCAACTGTGGCTACGGATTGGCGGAAGTCACGTTGGTGTGCACGGGACAAGAACCGCCTCAGAAACCGACGCTATTGGACGTTAACAAGCGCGTGCTGGAGACTGAGCGCAAGGCCGCTGTTGTGAGCTCCAAGAAGAGCAAGAAACCTGCTTCCAATGAGGTGATGCAGCTTGTAGGCTGTGGCAAAGCCATGCCGACGTTTAGTGTCTCTATTGTCAATCCGGATACCAAGAAGCTATTGGACGAGCTGCAGGTCGGAGAGGTGTGGGTACAGGGCCCGTCAGTGGCTGTTGGATATTGGAACCGACCCGAGTATACCGAGGAGATGTTCCGTGCTCAGCTTGCAGGCGAGAAGGACGCGAACAACACGTACTTACGGACTGGAGACATGGGTTTCTTGCGCAAGGGCGAGCTCTTTGTCACTGGCCGACTCAAGGATCTGATCATCATTCGTGGCCGGAATGTATGTCCTCAGGACGTGGAAGCTTCTGTTGAGCATGCGCACGAGAATGTTCGCCCCGGTTGCACGGCTGCGTTTTCGATTGAAAAAGGCGACGAGGAAGCGCTGGTGGTGGTCACGGAAGTCAAGAACGGATCTTCGCAGGAAACGTTGGAGGAGATTTGTCGGGAGATTATCAAGACGGTGTTGTCTGAGCACCAGCTGAAGTGTGAAGCCATCGTGCTGCTGCGTCAGAAGACGATCCCCAAAACCACGAGTGGAAAGATCCAGCGTAGTGCCTCGAAGGCTCATTTCCTGGATGGAACGCTTGTTAAGCCGCTGTTCGAGTACAGAGCGAAAGCTGGCAACGCTCCAGTTGCTTCTACCCCAACCAAGCGGAAGGAGAAGACTACTACCAAACCCTCTGGAGAGTTGAAGACACCGGATGAGATCCTCGCGTGGTTATTGGAGCATGTGGCACAGGAGATGGAAATGCCGACGGGAGAATCGTCGGACGGCCAGAAGACGACGACCAACGCTGCTGAGATCGACCCGAACACGCCGTGGGCCATGTTTGGTATGGATTCCGTGGCGATTGTTGGCCTGTCGTCGGATCTGGGCGAGTTCCTGGGGTGTATCGTGTCTCCTTCGGCGTTTTTCCAGTACGACACGCCGCTCAAGCTCGCGAATGCCCCCGGATTGACAACTGGAGATCTGGCTGGCGACCAGGAGGGCGACGACCAAGGCGACGTCCAGACTGCCACTACAGTTGAGGAGATCGACTCGAGTTGCTTTGAGATTGAGAATTTCCCGGAAGTTCAGGGACTTTTCGGCCAGATGAAGGAGTTCGAGAGCGCTGGACTGCGTGTGCCCTTCCTGGAGACGCTGACGCCTGAGAAGCGTCGTATGACCAATTTCAACACGTACAACTATCTGGGCAATGCGTCGGACCCCGAGGTTGCTGCTGCTTCGAAGGCAGGAATCGAGGAGTACGGCACAACGATGAGTTCGTCGCCAATTGTGGGACAGACCCAGGTGAATGTGGACTTGGAGAAGGCGCTTTGTACGTTCTTTAAGGCTGATGCGAGCATTCTCTTCGTCGGTGGTTGGGTGTCCAATGTGACGACCATCGATGCACTGGTGTCCAAGGGCGATCTGATTCTGTGTGACGCACTTAATCACGACTCCTGTGTGAGTGGCCAACGTCTCAGTGGCGCTACTATCCTGCCGTTCCCGCACAATGACACCAAGGCACTTGAACGGATGCTGTCCAAGCTCCGTACCAAGTACCGTCGTGTTCTTATTGTCATTGAAGGCGTGTACAGCATGGACGGCGACATCCCGAACGTCAATGAGATGATCCGCATCAAGAAGAAGTACAAGGCTCTGCTCTTCATTGACGAAGCTCACTCGTTCGGTACGATGGGTGCTACGGGTCGTGGTATTTGTGAACACGCCAATGTGGACCCCAAGGACATTGATGTACGTATGGGCACGATGAGCAAGGCGCTGGGATCGGTTGGTGGCTTCATCCTGGGCTCAAAGTCGCTGGTTAAATACCTCAAGCACTGTGCTGGTGGCTTCGTCTTTTCAGTTGGTTTGGCTCCAGCTTGTGGCTCGGCTGCGTTGAAATCTGTGCAGCTGATGACGGAGAGCTCGTCGCGTACGACTACTCTGCAGGAGCGTAGTATGTTCTTCTACGACCTGTGCAAGGAGCACAAGATCCCGATGGGGGAGAGCACCTTCCGCGGTGCACCTGTGGTCGTGGTGATGATTGGTAGCACCATTGCCACTGCTAAAGCCTCCGAGTACTTGACTCTGCACAAGATTAATGTCAAGCCTATTGTGTACCCTGCTGTGGAGGAAGGGAAATGCCGTCTGCGCTTCTTCATCTCGGCGCTGCACACGCACAAGCAGTTGGAGGAGACTGTCCTCACTTTGAAGACGTATCTCCGTGAGGGCTTTGTGGAGAGCAAGACGATCGCTGCAGAGTCGAACGTTGCTAAGACGAGTGAGAATGAGGGATTCAGGACTGTCAAGAAGCGCAAGTCGAAGAAGAAAAAGGGCAAAACCAAGTCGACCGCGCTGTAGAGTTGAGAGGAGCAGGGTAGATACAGAGTAGTACGTGTTCCGCTGTTATAGTTAAGAGTACATGCAGGCTTTTGACTCGCGATAATGCTGCGCAATTCTTCGACCGCGTGCTCTACTGTACCAGACCTATTCAGGTTGCTGGAGTAATGCTGACTACAACTTCTAATTCTCTCAAACCTACGCATATTACGACGTGAAAAGCCAACATTTCAAATTCGGAATCTGAAAAAACATTATGTACGTGAGGTTTAAATTATAGTACAGGTAAGTTGGTCAGTTTCATTGACCAAATCATACTTACCTGACTGGTGCTTGACGCTGCTCAATGAGGGCGTTGACATGAGCCGGAGCAGGCCCCTTGCACTCCGGTGCTGTAAGGGTTCAGGAATGCTCTTTTGAGTAATTCCACAGTAGAATTTTTGTCAGCGGGGGTGAGCGCGTGCGCCGCCCCCACCCTCCTCTTTCTTCATTTGTTTGTTTTATCTCTATGAACTCAGTTCGGTTGATTACATTTACGGTAAAGGTCTCTTAACAAGCTTCTAGAACCATTCTACAATACCGTATAAATCGGGCCCAAGTGCAACAAACAAACTCAATGCGACAGTTTACAAATAATGGGTGACACCCCGTCCTTACATACACATTACACCAATTGTTTGATAATAAGTAACTAATTTGAAGAATTTAATAAAATAACGATGGTAAACAAATTTATTGATTATCTGCGTCCTGGTCAATAATGGAATCGTCCGGCAGCGCCTGCAGGTATGTAGCAAACACACCATCGCGGGGCCCAATCAATATTAGATTGGCTCTGCACAATCCTTTTACGATTGTCTTTACATTGACGAGATCCCATGCTTTCGCTACAAGAAAGGAGAGCATAACACGTCTTTCGGCAGCAGTTGTAGGGAATGGATGGTCAATGTGGCATTTAAAGTGGTAATAAAGCAATGAAACATTACTTACTGAATGTTCGTCTTGAACGACTTCATCACACTTACATCCATCGGCTGGCTAAGACCAGTTGCTCCCATAGGAAGGAACTGGACTTGAATGGAACAATCGTCGTCAAGACGAAGTCGAATGCTGCTCATTTTGTGGATCTTGAAGCTATCCAGAAGCAGCATCCGATATCCATACACTAGGTCTCCATATCTAAAAACACAACAAATATTTTAAATCTAAACCTAAAAAAAAAAACAGAAACCAACCTTCTCAAACCAATCAACCATAATATCATGGTCGCACCATGCCGTAGGTTGCACAGTGTGTTCAACAGCACTGCTGCCAAACGAAGGAGCCATCAGCTCGTTTGCTATGCAACACCCAGGTACACCAGCAAACACGATCCGGTTGCCAATTTAAACCAAAAAAGTAAATAAATTAAGAAATTAAAAAGAAAATGATGGCATACGCTTTTTCCAGGACTGGTTGGCGAACACACAACGCTTCGTGTGTGTTGTGTCGTACGTAGAATTTACTGCCGACTTTCTTTTCCGCAGCAAGAGCGGTGTCGTTCTTCCTCCAGCCATACACGCTTGAACTGTGCACACCAAGAGTCGCTGCAACCTTGGCAACTGCCCTAATTACTTGCCAAAGTCATACGTAGTTAAGTACGTTAGCGACGGTTGGTAAAACTTGATATTTACCTGAAGTTTTGTCTTGTTCTTGTTCTTGGGCCTTTTCTTCATCTTGAGCTGGGCGCTGAAGGAATTTGTAAAATGAGGTCCAGCGGAACCACGCAGGAATGACGCCATTAGACCCGACTCAATGAAAACCTCGTAAGGTTTTTCATTTGACTTGCTTTTGACCAGAAATCTTTGTCGCACTGGGCCCGATTTATACGGTAGATAGTTCGACATGATTGGGAAACAATATTTTTGTTTAGTGAATATGGTTCTCGTTTTGGCTGCCTCGCGAATTGCGTAATGGGGAGGGGGAGAAGGAAATTGAATAATAGATTTAGCTGGCCATTCGCCGCATCTACCGCTGAAATGATTATATTTGCTAATTATTTTGTCGTGTGAATTCACACGCCCATGAAGCGTTTTTGGATTGGTTAGCTTTTCATCAAGATAGTGCAGATGATTTAGGTTCATTACCGCGGCGGTCAACGATAAGGCCAACACCACCAAGTGCTCGACACTGTCAGCGAAGACTGACGCACACGGCCACATACGTGACGACGCGATGGAGCTGCTGCTGGACGCCGACGCGCTCCCAACGATCAAGCTGCGCGAAGGATAATACCTAGATGTGGGTGACGGGTTTAGCCACGCACAGCACCGTGACTCTATGGAGCTCGTCTTGCAAGAGATGAAGCGCATGATGGCAGCCATTTTTCTGTCGCCACTGGTGCCATGGCAGAAGATTAATTCAATCAAGACGTATGTGTACCCGAAGGACGCCTATCGTATCCACCACATACACGACAACAAGGCATAGCTCGACTCGGCGTCGGCTGGCGGTCTGTGCCACCTCCTGCGTCTCAACCAGTCTAGCACTACGGTCCTGTCCCACGCACCGGTTGACAAGCGCGGTCTCGGCTTCGTGCCACTCGTAGACCTGTGCGCCGCGTTGTAGGTCAGCCACGCTTGGCAAATGCTGCACTCACCGGACACCTTCGTCCGTGATATTGCACAGGAGCCGGTATGGCAAGTAATTCAAAAGCGATTCATCGCTAGGGGCAGTACCAGCCCATGTGGATTTGGTGTTGACGCACTCAGTACTTCGATGGTGGAATGAACGTGACGGCAAGACCTATCGTCACCAACGATGCACCCATGACGAAATTTTGTCCCACGTCCTGCAACACTACCCAAGAAATGCTCAAGCCATCGACGGCCGCCACGACCAGGTACTTGCTATGATCAAGAAGCTGTTGAACCCGTTGCTGCCAAGCCTGGCAGCCATCTCAAGGTGCGTTTTGACTCGCATATCGAGGGCCTTCCGGGCCGCGCACTCCGATCAGACATCCACCTCTTTGACGCATCCATGAGGATCGCCTACGTTTGTTACGTGGCCGTCGCTTTTGTGACTCAGAAGACTGACAATGCTGCCGCCGGCAATATGCGCATGCGCCACGCCGAAAAGGTAGCTAAGTATACACGAGCGAAGTAGTACCTCTCATCAAGCGTGCCTCCAACCAGCTCAGCCGCCGAATATCTGCGGCAGGTATGCAAGCTAGCTACCACATCTGGCGGAGGCATGTCGGTGATACCAACACCTACGACATGTCGAGCAGCTCGCGTACTACTGCGACTTCCACACTTGCACCACAACAACCGACAGAGACTGCGAAGACTACGTCGTCAGTGTCGGCAACAGCAGCACCAGCACCGACCTCGACCTTGGGGTCTGCACTGGTACAACCTGTTACACGGCCTCAAGTGGAGATTGCTCTGTCCACTCAGCAAAATGGGCTTCAACGCGATGGGGACCTCCTCGCGTCCCTCAGCTCATACCAGAGTTACGACGCCACAACCAATTATGGCCGCACTTAGAGCGACCACCGACTCCGTCAGAGGATACACAGCAGCAAGCAAACGTACGTCGTCAGGCTCGGGGGAAGTCAACGATGCCACGAACATGTGGTTCGCCGAGAACGCGCTCGCCGCGACAGCAATTGCACTTATCGCGGCTGTGTTGCAACAGCCACAAGGTTCTACCGTAAACCAAGGGGTTCATCGCAACGTACGACTAGAGTGCAACATCTCGTAAAATCACCAGAAAAAGGGCTGCTCGCGATATTCAGATAGGGGCGGCACTCCCTCCTTGTATCACATAAACTTGTAATTGACGAAAAAAGGATCAATTTCTATTTTTCACATACAAGTGGCGCATCGCTGACCGAAACAACAGGAACCCGAAGCGGGCGCCGCTATCGCGTGGGCCTGTGGGGATCAAACCTGCCTTGTCGAAGCCGTTGACGATGACCTGTGCTGGAATCGCTTCCCAGGCTTCAGAAACTATCTGCGACAACAAGGCTCCCTTCTCCTGCGGATTCGAGGGAAACGGATGCTCAATGTGATATTTGTAATAAACATTCCTGCAAAAATTGACAATAGTGAGACAATGTAAAAAGTGTAACTACAAAAAAAACAAATACGTACGTGTTCTTGAAGGCTTCCATTACAGAAATGTCCATGGGTTGGCATATTCCTGTGACACCGGGGGGGGGGGGGGGGATAAACTCGACTTGCGTGTAGCACTCTTCCTGCAGCGCGTAGCGGACCGATGCCATCTTGTACGTCTTCAAACTGTCAAGGATCAACATCCTGCATCCGTCAACCGATGGCTTCCACACCAATAGTAAAACCGTGTATAATGGTCAAAATTGTTAATATAAATATATTTGTCAAATCGTCAATATTAGTATATTTCCATAAACAAACCCGCTCAATCCAGTTGGTTACTACTAGGAAAGACACGACTACTGCCACTAAAGTACGATGTCGGTTCTACCGATCCTATCGGTAGAGCCGACTTAGATAGAATTTTATAGGAATTCGTAATGACATGTGAGCAGTATATAGCTTTCGTTATCATACCACTTCGACGTTGCCATGGTTCAAACATTGAAAGTTTTTTTTAGTCTCGTTCAATTACTTGCTGTATAAAACCTAGCTAGTAACCGTTCCACCTCCCGTCACCATACTCCCGATTACATTCTACTTAACAGTAAACTTCATTCCTTTTGATTACATCTACTACTCAGTAATCAGC